CGGACTCGGTGCGTTCTACATAGTCTCCCTGAACACAAGACCCAGTTGCGACAACGAGGTCAACCCACTTTTACTTTGACTAGTTTCACTCATATTATTAGTATATAAGTAATGTTTACATAAAGTCTTCTGTAAAAACCCATAGACTGGGCATAAATGTAATGTTTCTAAGGCTACTTTGACGTGGAGTGAGGTCACTCTTCTTCAAATCTGTTAAGCGAAAATCGAATTAACGGTTATCTTTCTGAGCAAGCAGGTTTCGTTGTCGCAACTGAAATCCGTCTATATCAGCAGCAAGTTAGTCACACTTACTGGCATTACACGTTTTCATAAGCTTGTCATTATTTTCAGCACTGCTCCCTCTTGGCAGATGAGTAATGTCAGACTCGTACCCCTAATGTGATGTCGACTACGATTTCGGGGAAACTTCCTAGGATGTACCAAATCGGCCGTCCGATGTTGGTCTTCAGGCAATCGTGTCCACTACAGTGAAAGCCGCTGATATCGAGCTCAGATCCTTGCTTTTGTGTTTTCATTTCGCACACTTGGCCTTGGCGTCTCTTTGCCACGCCTCCTTCAGCCGACGCTGATATCCCCACCTCACCAATTTCTTTGTTCTCTCTTTCTCGGGTGATATGGGTACTCTATAGCTTGGTCATGTCCACGGCGTCACAAGAGATAGGGTATTATGTCGTTAAGTCGGCGAGTGAATAAGAACATATTTGCTTGCTTCCCAGCTCTTTTGTTGCCAAGTCAGTTGTTAGCTTTGCTTAAGTTGACCAACCTTTGTGCAAAAGCAGAGTCCCATTTGGGTCGCTTTTTACGCCAGCCAACACACCTGGCAGGCTTCTTTTGGCGCCGAGTTAAGGGGTTCTGATTATGGGTCCCTTTCAGAGGTCTTTTTTGTCCAGTCCGCTGATAACAATACAGCCTGAGGATAACAGAGACCTGATATTGTGAACTTTGCGTATTTCTCTTTGTTTTTGCATATATTGCTTTCTCTCTTTGTCTCTTCCTCTCTGTATTCGTCTTTGTCTGTCTGTATTCATGACTATCTATCTATTCATATGCTTGTCTGTTCCTTTCTCTCTCTCTCTCTCCCTCTTTATATATATGTATAATGCATACCTTTTGATGGTTTTTTGGACTACCCGTGACTTGTACCTCTTTCTTCTTGTCGCCCTTTCAAATCTGAATGTTGTGAACCCTGCAGCGCAAAGGCCAACTGTATCTTTCGTTGAACGGTGAGCGCTACCGACCGATCAGCGGCCCTGGACAGGTCTTCGACAACGGCGAGATGCATGTGATACAATTGGACAGACGAGGTGGCCAATTCAACGTGACCGTTGACAGCCACACGACAATAATCGACGAGCCGGGTACGTCGTAACATGGTGCCTAGTGCATGCACTCACCCCTTATGACGGCCAATCCCAGTCCCACTTTAGCTCGCCAAACCCCACACTTGTCACGACTCCTTTAAGGGTCGAATCGACGCCACTGCGGCTTTTTGCAGACGAGGTTACCTCTCAACTCTTTATAAAATTAAACGAAATTCTGGGAACCTGAGACTGAAGTTGCCAAAAGATGACTTTTTAGAGAAACCGAAGAGTCTTGTCCTCTACTGTCGCCAGATAGCCTCCCAGCGGTAGAGTTGGCTCAAACTCGAGGTAATCAGGACATCATTTCACTTCATCGATCAAAGGCAGACAATACGAGAAAGTACATATCTTTAGGCTATGAACCGTCATATGTTAGATCTATTCACCCTATTTCATCTAAGATTATGAAGAGTTGGTAATTGAATTTCCCCCCAACAACATGAGTAGACCTTACTTTTCTATTGCATTTCACATGGCCTTGCTTCCCAAAAGCTATTCTCATCCCGGCATCAGCGCCTCCAGCTGCACTCGCTACCCACAACGTTTCCATTTAATTCCCCCGCTCTTATATAAAATGTTATGGTAGTCTCGAAAAAACTACTTATGAAACGATAAATAAGTAATTTATCGATTGCTATAGCAAATACAACTTTGCTTTATCGACAATCCCACCATGGAATGTAATATTGGAAAATGCCTTGAAATTTGCATTTGTCCTGTGATCTAGGCTTTATCGCAATTCTACTTTTAAACGAAAAATGTGACCAGTTTTGTTTCCCAATCAACTGTCAATTTCTAAAAATGAAAAATTTACTAACTTTACAAATAAATAGCATACCTAGTTTAGAAGGAAAAATTCTATTACCTGTTGGTATATAGCTATCCACAAAATCACGTGGCTTAGGCAAGCCCTGCTTTGCTTCGAAGAGTGACTAAGCTCCTACTAAAGAAGTACTGATAGTTTCGAAAACTAGTTATATTGTGAATGAAACTCACCTTATTCTTTTAAATTCAACCCGAGAAATATCCATCCGACGGCAACTTGCCGCGAACGGTGAAGACAGCAGATAAAATCCCACCAGCCCGGCGGTCCTGGCACATACAGGTATTTATAGTCCCGAGAAAAACTGGCAAACACACACATTCAAACGCACTGGCATAATCACACAAACGAAGTTATATTCTTAGCTTGTAACTTGATTGGCCAATGAGGCTGCCGACGCATTGGCCAATCACAGCAGGCCTTGCTCCAATTGGCTACTTTTCTCTTCACTCGACCTTGCTTATCAGACAGGGCTACTTGAGCTGGTGTCAGTTGTGTCAGTCAGCCTTCGGTGTGTATGTGTGTACTGTCTGTTTCACTCGGCCTCGTGGGTCCGCCCACACACACACGTTCGCCTCCAAGTGCATGTCCTCGCGTCGGCTGCGCCATTCGTGCCGAGGCATGAGGCAGTCCCCTCTTTCGTGTGATTAGTCATTGCGTGGACTCGTGGTTTTCGTCGTCTCCACCTTCGTTTCACCCTCCGTCGGGTCTCCTGGCTTGGATTATCGCCGCGTCCGAGTCTCACCGGCCTGCGGTCTGTCGAGACGACCAGCTCTTATGAGTATTCCTGCAGAGGCTGTCGGCGCGTAGGCGCACCGACGTCGTCGCTCACGGACGCCGGCTGGGCTCGGTAAGCCAGTTTTCCACACCCTTTTGCTGCTACCTTCGGCGAGTCGGACGTCGATTTGGTCCACATTGTTGTGTTGTTCTGTTGTGTATTGTGTATTGTATTGTATTGTGTTGTATTGTGTTGTATTGTGTTGTATTGTGTTGTATTGTGTTGTATTGTGTTGTATTGTGTTATATTGTGTTGTATTGTGTTGTATTGTGTTGTATTGTGTTGTATTGTGTTGTA